CCATGCCCGCGGCGCGCCAGGACACCGAGGCGCGCTCCCACGGGTACGCGACTCCGCACGGATGCGCTCCGCGCGAGCGACAGCCGCGCAGGAGCCGCCCTGCAAGGGAGCCGGGCGCAGAGGATCCCTCGCCCCTCGCTCCTTGTACCGAAGAAGACAATACGCCATAAGCATGAACTTTTGGCGCCCAGCGCGGATTCCTTGGATCTGCGCTAGGCACACACACCCGCGGCGCCTCTGGCGCCGCCCCTGGCGCGCTTTGCGCGCTTGCGCGCCAGCGAGAGGGGTCCAGCGCAGATCCAAGAAATCCGTGCGGAGCGCCAACAGTTTGTGATTATAGCAATGTTTGTTATTCTATTGTATTCCTCAGGTTCCCCACATCCCACTGACGCAGATTCCAGCTCGCCAGCGCTGGGAAACTCTAGTTTTGGCATGCAGGCAAACGGAGCCAGGCGCACTCGAAAACCGTAGCTCGGGGAGCGCATGGAAGCTAGGCCATGAACTCTGAAGCCACAACTGCGGCCCCGAGCTCCTAAATTACACACTGTGTGCGCACGTGCATACGAGGTGGACGAAATGAAAAGCACCGCCTTGAATTCAGTCAAAATCGCCCAGAAATAACAGCTGAACATACACGATGAGCACTGCTTGCAAGGTGGGGCGCAGTCAGAAACGGCCTGTCGCATTCACAACCTGGATACCTTGCGAGCACCACTTAGAAGCAGGGTGCGCTTGCAACTGACATCTGACGAACAACAGCCTGCCAAACATGGGCGCAGCTCAAACCAACAACAGAGGCGCACGAAGAAAATCGCCGATCAAGCGAGCAGAAGGAAGGCGTCCTGCGATCTCGGCACCGCTCAAAAGCGCATTACCGTAACCGTCGAACACCAACTTGCGCACGCGAGGCTGGCCCTAGGGAGACTAAAGGGTCGAATGACACGCAAGGCTAGTCTGGCGCCTCGGGCCTGGCCTCGAGGGGCCCTTCGATGAGTAGGCGGGGCCGTCAAGATAGCAGGCGAGCGCTCCAGACGGCCAGAGACGTGCCAGACGGCCACAGAGGCCCTCAAGACCACCCCTCCCGACCAGCGCCCTCCCATGCTCGCCTGAACTCCTCGATGCCGCCGCCGGCAATCTTCACCATCTGCGGCCGACCATCCTTGCGAGAGAGACCCCGGCGTCAGAGGATCGGAGGACGCCCTCCCCCTCCCACTCCTCCCCGCCTCGTCCCCTCCTGATGCTCTCCCTCCTGCAGCCCAGCGCAAGCTGTCAGCTGAGCACGGGGGCCCCGTGTTGCAGAACCCGTATGACGCCTTCGTCCCTTGCGAGACACTGCTGGTACAAGCAGCTCACTGCGCAGGGGCATGCATCAGGATGTGCGAGTAACTCCACACGAAATGATGCCGAGTGGGGACTTCCTCCTGCAACCCTCTTCGATCTTCGCGACGTATCACTTTCACGCTTCGCCAGCTACATGATTATGATACTGTGAGTTGGCCATGTTGACTTTGGCAATCGCTTCATCTTGAGGCTTTAGCTCTGGCTTTCCCCCGAACCTCAGATTCAGGCATGGGAGCTGAGTATCAGACTTCGCTGGAGCCATCCCCCTGACTGGCCACTTGCACATGGTATTTCGCTTCAGCTGAGGATTTAGCATTGACGCTGGCTTCACCGAGCTTGACGACACGCCTCAGACAGCCGGCCTTCATGTAGAAAGCCGTGCTGCCATGTCGAGGTAGTGTCGCGCTGGCGCGTGGCAGGGCGCCAGGGTGTCGCGCCAGGTTGCCACCAGTCTGGAGCGGACGCCAGACGAAAAACGGACAGGATAAGCTGCATGTTTCAAAGGACAGACAGCGCATCGAGGTGACGCTCCGTAAGACCAATGCTGCGTCAAAAGCGCGAAGGTCCGCTGGAACCCCTCCTGTAGAGGGACATACCCGACTTGAGGCCTTCCGACCGCGCAGGATCGTTCGATGTCGGCCGACTCAGTGCCGCTGGCGGCGTTCCACCTTGAGCGCCAGCGCCGGGGCCGCCGCCGCGGCGGCACGACACAAGCCCCTGCCGCGGTCTGGCAGGACGGAGGCGCTGCCGCAACACCGAGGAGCACAGTCTCTGCTGCTCAGCGCGGGGCCCGCCGGCGAGAGGACGGTAGGCAATGCAGTCGGGGCGTTGACCTAAGGAACCCCAAATAGGGATCGAGGCCCCTCCTCCTCCTCCTCCTGCTCCTCCTCCTCCTCCTCATCCTCCTCCTCCTCATAAGTTATTAACCGTCGACCCCCCCTGGGAAACCCCAGGAAAACCCAGGGCAAACTGCGACGCAATCGGGGAACACCGAGCCCCTCCCCAACGAAAAGGGTTCTTCTTCAGCGCCCCGACTGTACTCCCATCGCAATGCTGGCTTGTAGCATGAGCATTGCCATTGGTGCCTCAGTGCCAGCACCATCAAGTCGCTGCGTCCCGTCAAGAGTGTTGTACGGTTGCCGCCATGTTCAAAGCTTATCGGATACTCCAGGACTAAAAATCTATGCTCCACTGTCTTGGAATCCATCCAGGGCAAAACACGACCGGTCCGTGCGCAAGACGGGCTTCCTCCAAAGCCTGGTGGTGGGCAAGCCCACGTCGGGCATCCAGCTGTTCACTCCGAACGTGCGACACGTGTAGAAACTTGTCGACGTGGTCGTCTTGAGGCGCATCTCCAGCGAACCTCGCCTCACCTGCACGGAGCATAGTTACACATCGGTCGGAAGAAGTAGGTAGAAACATGAAGTAGGAAGGCGGATATAGTGGACTGGGTCAAGGCCCTCCCAGAGAATAACAAAACACAGCAAAAGCATGTCGACTCTTGAAGTAGGAAGGCGCTTGAAGTAGATTGGGATGTGGGGATCCAAAAATACCTATTTTCAACGACCAGCCTGTACAGGTCACCATATATGCGAGTTGTTAGGGCAGTCATCCTTGTCCGAGCGGCATCCTTGTCCGAGCGGCTGCACGCTCGGCCTGGAGGCCTTCTGCTCTGGGACGCGGTACCTGCTCCCACGGGCATCCTCCGGGTCGCTGCCGGGTCGAGGTCATCGCTTCTGGACTTGCGAAGGGCACAGTGGCGATATCGAGATACATGCGCAAGAACAGCGCGAGACCATGCCAAGGCCGTCCACCATCATTGTGACTACCTCGCCACTTGCTCGGAAAATGTTGTCTGGAAGCCACCCAAGTGGAATTCGGGCAGAGCGGATCATTCAGCGAGATACGCCATTGTAATCTCGACCAGCAGCATAGATGCCATGCAAGCGGCAGGGTTGCAGTTGCATTATGATTCTGGCTTCATCAGCAGAAAAGGCGAAACATGGAGTCCAACTGACCGGCCACACACGGGTCGACCGGCATCTCGAAGACACGGTCCGACGGAATCTTGGTCCGATAAGTACGTACAACATTGAGCCAGGAGCCACATCGGCACTCGGCATGGATCTACGTGGATGGGGTGGGTATAGCAACTGGGATGGATGTCACAGATGCCACTCCACCAAAAGAACAGGCAAACGTCGTCGATTCAAGATCGAACGAGGCCATCCGTGCACCCTGCATGCCGCAAAAACGTCCAAGACCGTTGAGCGGCTGTTGGCGAATGTTCCCCATACTCGGCGAATGCAAAAGCTCCCATCGCCCAGTGCTGAATCCCAAGCAATCGGCAGCACTCCGAGCCAGACGTGGTGACCGTGCAGTCAGAGCCTCGCTCGCCTCTGCCGGTGCTGACAGCCTCGCGCAACGCGTGCCACCTGCGCTACTTGGCACTTCGGCAGGTGCCACCTGCACACTTCCATCTCACTGCTGGCGCGGACTCTTCTGACACTCACATCCCGTGTCTATCAACAAAATATGACGCAGAACAATTGCATAGAGATGCGCAGTTTCGGAGGTCCGCGCGGATATCTTGGATCGGCGCTGGACACCCGCGCCCTGGTGCTCTCCGCGCGCCAGGGGCGGCGCCTGAGGCGCTGCCAGGAGGGCGGGGCAGCGCCGATCCGAAAAAACTGCGCGGACATTCGAAAGCTTATGCTCGTGCAAGTTTCTCTTCCTCGAGAACCTCGACGAGTTCAGGGAGCCAGCGATGAAGAATATGAGCTGACGATCTTCTCTTGGGCACGAGGGATCGCAAAAGGCGGTCCGATCGGCACTCATAAAAGGAGTCGCGTTGGTCGCATCTGATTGGACTGACAGAGGGCTGAGGTTGCCCCCCAAAAGGTATTATCATACCTGGCAACTTGTCGGATGCCAAGTTTGCAACACGCGCTCTGGAGGCGACGAGGCACCGCCACCCGCGCGACCCCGCAGAGACACTACCTGGGCGTCAACCTTGGAAGAGGGAGGCGCCTGGCACGAGCGATGCGGAGCGGCTGGGTCAAGAAGGCCCAAGGGCAAAACGCACGCCTCTGAAGGCATTTCTTCGCCTCACGGTGCGACCAGGTGACCCAGAAGATAGAGTTCACAGGGTCACAATCGGCAGCGACGCGCGCAAGTCAAGTACATGGAACGCTTGGAGAGCAGAACCGGCAGATCAGACGGCAGTCGGGCTCCGTCGAGGGCGCTTCCCAGAGAGGACGGCACCTGACTACGTTGCCATCGCTTGACGCGCCCTGTCAGGACCCAGGCGTGAGGCTGCCGCAGTTGTCTACAACAATGGATCAGTTGCCCCGACAGTCGGCAGGGTATTCGCAAGATCTGTGAGATCATTGCACGACGAGTCCGCAGCACTCCAGCGGCGGACAGATCCAGGTGCATACGCGGGCCAATGTCAGCGGTGATCACCTGCCTCATGAATGCGGGGTGGGATGTTCAGTCACCGTCGCACTACTGACCACTACGACCTCGAACCTGTCGATTGGATATTTCCAGATGATACCTTTGCCGCGGGGCCAGTGGATACGGCAGATGTCATTCATGGCTGTGGGCAGTCGCCAGAGAAGGGCCTCTGGGCCAAGGCGGCTGAGGAGCTCTGCGGGAGCGGCCTCGAGCTCGTGGCCGACAACGACTCCTTGAGGATCTTCATTCAGCGTCTGAGCCAAACCCCCTCATGGCAAGCAGCTGGCCGAGCTCATGGTCACTATTGCCACAGGGGGATGCTGGACGCGTGCGCGCAAGCATGCTGCGGGGCTGTGAGAGACTCGTGTCAAAGATGCACGCGATTCCGACTTGTGTCAGAGATGCAAAGGGGGACCCCTGACCTTGTTGCACAGAGTTTGGTTCTCCTTGCAACACAGGGTCCAAGGCGTCTGCGGACTCATACCAACCGACGCCTGCGGCCCCGGCACAGGCCGGGGCGGACATCTGCTCCTGGCTCGGGGAGCTCATCCCAGGCAGCTGGACCAGCACCCCGCAGCCAACGCAGGTCGAGGGATGGACCACAGCAGGCATTGACAGACAGGGGAGCTTGTGACAGGCAGCGTAATAGTCGGCACTTTGGCCAACCCACTTGTCGTTTGAGGCGATGCGTCAGGTGGGCCCGACAGCCGGCATCCATCGCTCAGGCGAATTGGCCTAGGCATGGTGGTGCTGCGGGATCAGATGACGCTAGAGATCGGACCTTCGGTCGTTGGCCCGCTCGCCTGAAGGGTGCAGTCAGCGCCCAGAAGCGAGCCACGGACCCTCGAGCTCGCTGCCGGGGGCTCCAATAGGGCCGAGAGCTTACGTGGCCGATGATGAGGCTGCTTGTCAGGGCTGGCACGACCAGCTCCACATGCGTGAGAACAAAAGCGAGCTGTGCAGTCTCTGGTACGAAGCAGGCAGGCATTGTTATATCCCCCCCAACAGACCACCCCTCCTCATGCGCTCGACCGCGGGCCCGCGCCGTACACCAGGCGCAAGGCGGCCACTCGACCCAGCGCCAGCGGCGGCGGCATTACGTTTCCAGGAGTCCGTCCGAGCTTGTGGTGCTGAAGGTACCCTCCCATCCCTCGGCCGAGGATGCAGCTCGACGAAAGACAGACGCGCGGCTCCTTCTCTCAGCAACACCGCTCCCGATGCTCTCGCAGAGGGGGCGGCGGACAGATGTGGAGTTCCGTCGGCCAGTCGTGCGGTCACAGCTGGTGTTGAACGCATGGCCAGTCCTGTTAGGTGTCGCATTTCGAGAGCCCCACTCGAGGCGGCGGAGGCAGACACGAA